GTGTTACGATACGTTGAAACGCTCGTTTGAGGGTTTGTTTGAGATGGAAAGTTGCTGGGAAGTGTAGGTAACAGGTTAATTAGTATTCAGAGACTTTTTTTTAGAAAGAGAGAGAGATGATGCAAAAAGACATAGTCGGTGAAAAAAAGAAAGAAAAAGAAGTTTTCTTCTTTGTATTTTTTTTTTTTTTTTGAAACAACGTAATGGAAAGGTTTAGATGCCTTGTTAACTTTATGTGTATAATTAATACGAAGATTATACGATTTCATTTGGAAGAAATATTCCGCAAATTAAATTATGCGTTAAAATCTTACTACTTTATGATTTATACTCTTTTCGAAAAAAGAGACTCCCTCCTCTTTCAGATTTCGGATCTTTTGAACACGTTAAGACAGTCGGAGATAAACTTGCTCGGTTTGGACGGTTTGAAAGCTAAGCTGGAACGTCTGGAGCCGGAATTGTACGAACTGAGGGAAACGAAAGAGGAAATAATGGACGAGTTAAATATGATGCGCGACACATTGAAGGAGAGGAACGATCAAATAATCCAGATATTGGAAGATAAGGCTAAGCTGGAGGAATATTACAAGAACAAGGTTAACGAGTTAGAGGCGAGGTTCGAAGAGCAGGAGAGTTTAAGCGAGGAGCTCGAGAATCTGAGGAATGAGTTGGAAAAGCAAAGGATAAAGAACAAAGAGCTCGAGGCGTGTTGCGAGGACATGGATGTCCTCGAGAACAAGCTGGCCGAGTTGGAGAAGGAGCTGGAGGATAACAGAGGCGAGCTCGAGAGATTGCAAAAGGAGAATTTGAATCTGAAGGATGAGATAGAGGTGGAAAGGATGGAGAACGATAAACTTCGCGACCGGTTGGAAGAGTCGAAAAAGTTGATGGAGGACAACGAAAATTTAAAGGCTCAGCTGGAGCAGCTGCGAGGCGAGAACAATGATCTGATGGGGCAGAAGAAGGCGCTCGAGGATTTAAATAAACAGTTAAACGAGGATAACGAGAGCATGAAGCGAACGATGGGCAATTTGGAGGCGCGAATCGACAATCTCTCGAATGAATTGAGCAACGTGGAGCGAGAACGGGACGCGTTGCTGGACGAGAATCAGAGTGTGAAGAGGGAGCTGGAACGAACGTTGACGGAGAACGAAAATCTGAAGACGGAGTTGGACAAGGCCGATGAACAACTTGACAAACTGAAAGCGGAGAAGAACGAGTTGCAGAGGAATTTCGACACGATGAAACTCGAGAACGAGACGTTGAAGGAGGACGTAAAGGCTTTGAAGGACGACCTTGAAGAGTCGAAGAGAGAGATGAAAGCGGTCGGTGATGCGTTAAAGGATAAGGAAGAGTTAAAGGACGTCGAGTTTCGAGAACTGCAACAAAATATGCAGAACTTGAAGACTGAAAATGGCGAGTTGAAGAAAGAGAACAACGATTTGAAGAAAGAAAACGACGATTTGAAAACGAGAGCTTCGGAATTGGAACACAAGTTGGACGACGTTAAGAAAGAATTGGATGAAGTGGAGTCGCAGAATGCCGATTTACGTGCCAAAATCGATAATTTGGAAAAGGAATTGGAAAAAGACAAGAAAGAGATCGAGCAATTAAAATCAGAGATATCTTCGTTGAAGAATGCTCTGGATAAATGCGTGGACGAGATGGAAAAACTGAAGGTAGAGAACGAGAAACTTAAGACGGAGAGAGAGAAGATCGAAACGACCTGGTCGGACGAAAATACGAGTTTGAAAGCTAAAAACACGGAATTGGAACAAAATTTGACCACCGCTGTAAAGGAATTGGACAAAATAAGATCGGAAAACGCCGATTTGCTTAGCGAGTTGAATCGTTTGAAGCAAGAATTGGAAAGTGGTAAGAAGGAGATCGATCAATTGAAATCCGAGATAGGTTCTATGAAAGACGCTCTCGAGAAGTGTGTTGACGAGATAGAAAAGCTAAAAACTGAGAACAAGGACCTTAAATCGGAAGTTGAAGGCTTGGAATCTGAGAGGGATCGCTTGACGAACGAAGTTGCCGATCTGAAACCAAAAATTTCAGAATTGCAACAAAAATTAACCGACGCTAGCAAAAAGTTGGATGAAGCGAAAGTAGAGGATAGCGATTTGCGTGCCGAAGTGGATCGTTTGAAAAAGGAATTGGAAAATGCTGGGAAGGAGATCGATCAATTGAAAACCGAGATGAACTCCTTGAAAAGCGGTCTCGACAAATGTGTGGACGAGATGGAAAAGTTGAAAAATGAGAACAGCGAGCTGAAATCTCAAGTTCACGGACTTAGGGGCGAGGGGGACAGTTTAGCCAGTGAATTGACTAACATGAAGGGCGAAAATTCTGCTTTGAAAGATGAGAAAGATCAATTGAACAAGCAATTGGCGGAGAATAAGACGGAAAATGAAAGATTGAAAAAGCAGAATGATGAATTAGAAACTGAGAATACGAAGATAAAAAAAGAGTTGGAATCGTGCAAGGGTGAAAATAACAATTTGAAGGACGAAAATAACAAATTGAAGGATGAACTTGAAAAATTACGAGGACAATTGAAATCGTTGAACGATGAAACGAATAAATTAAAACGCGAGCTCGAGGAAGCTGAACATAAAATTCAGATTTTGGAACCGCAGTTGTCGCGTGTGCAAAGCGAGAACGAGAAATCGCAAAGTGAATTGGCGGTTTTGAGAAACGAGGCGAACGAATTAAAAGCTAAATTAGATAGAGAAACGCTCGACAATGTAAATATGCGAAACGCTATGAAAATATTGGAGGATCAAATGCACGATTTGAATAAGAAATTGGACAATTGTAGGGCGGAGAACGATGCTTTGAAACAGGAAAATAAAGATCTTAAAACGAAGTTATCGGACACGGAACAAGTTGTATTGAATTTGAAAACGGAATGTGATAATTTGAAAGAAGATATTACCGATTTGCAGAGAAAGATCGAACAACTCAAGCAGAAAATCACTGATCAGGAAGCGGAGATAGACCATTGGAAAGTGGAGCATTGCAAATTCGAATTGGATAATGAAAAATTAAAAGCTGATCTCGAGAAAATATTGAAAGATTTGAACGAATGTCAGGTAAAATAAATTATTTGCTTAACAAGTGAATATAAATTTCGTTTGATATAATTTTATTATTGTTTATATATATTTATTCACGGGAAATATTATATTTCATATAAAATATTTTCATCGTGATTAATGAGACAAAATAAAATTTCTATGAATTTTTAAGAAAATTTTCAAAATATTAATACGAATTTTCGTTCTTTCTAAATTAAAATTAATATTATTATTAATATTAATATTACACTATATGCATATCACGTAAAAAACGTTTTCAAATTTAATTTTAAATTTTTACAGGTTGCGAAAAAAGTCATTGAATCAGATCTAATCAAACTGAAGAACGAGAAAGACGATCTGAATAAAAAATTGACCGATTTAACGTCGCAATTGGACCAACAGAAGAAAACATTGGAAGCGGAAAAATCGGCCAAAGATAAGGGTGATGTACAAATCGCTTCCTTGAATTCCGAACTCGAAGCGTTGAAGAAAGAATTAGAGAAATTGAGAGCGGATAACAGCAAGTACAGAAGTGAGATAGACGATCTAGGAAAACAACTCGTATCGGCGAAGAACGAGCTGAAGGATTGCAGAGATGAAGTCGTTGTGTTGAAAAACGCCAATAACGCGTTAAGGTCTGAATTGGATCCTCTGAGGAGTTTGAAGGATGATTACAATAGGCTGACAACCGAATTGGACGATCTGAAATCTGAGAACACGAAACTTCTCCAAGACAAGAGAAGTTTGGAGGACGAGTTCGGGAAATTGAGAGGAGAGGGTGATGGGCAGAGGGTGGAGATCGACAGATTGAAGACGACTTTGGACGCGGAGAAAACAGCCGCGGAAAAATTAAGATCGGATCTTCAAAGTTGCAAGACTGAAAATGATAAATTGCAAGCGCAAATCAACGAGATGAAGAGGAATCTGGATAAAATGGAAACGGAGAATGATCGTCTGAAGAGAGAGCTCGACGAGTCGAAGAAGAAACTCGAGGATATGGAGGCGAAGATGAAGTCTCTGGAAAATCAGCTATCGAATTTGTCGGTGGAGAAAGAGGAGTTGGTCAAGGAACTCTATCGTACCCGTGAAGATTTGAACAATCTCAGAAACGAATTGGAGAAACAAACGGCTGTCAAAGATACAATGGCAAAGGAGTCGACCAATCTGAAGGAGGAGCTGGAAGCGTTGAAAGCGGAATTGAATAAGACTCGTGATGAAAACGACAAGCTGAAGAACGAGAATGACAAGCTGAATGCGGAAATAGCGAGATTGAATAAACAATTGGACGCACTGAAAGATGAAAGTGCGAATCTGAAGAATGAGATCGAGAATCTGAACGAAAGGAACGCGGAATTGTCTAAGGAATTAGCCGGGGCGAAAGATAATTTGAAAGATATGGAGACTCAATTGAACAATCTGAAAAGAGAGAATGACGATTTGAAAAATAAAATCAATAGTCTCGAGGATAAGATGCAAGAGGTTGATGATTTGAAGAAAAAGTTGGAAGAGACTAAAAAGGAATTGGATAAGCCGAGCCTGGAATTGGATACATTAAAATCAACCAATAAAAAATTAGAAGACGATTTAAATAATGCGAGAAACGAATCGTTAAATTTGAAGAATGATTTGGATAAGTTGCAAAATGATTATAATAATTTGCAAACTGAACTTACTGATTTGAAAATGGAGAGAGATACATTTAGAGAACGTGCTGCCGCGTTGGAAAAAGATCTGGTCAGGGTGAAGAGGGAAAATGACGAATTGAAAGATCAAAACGCGAAATTTAAAACAGAATTAGACGATTGCCAGGAGGAGAACAATAGGTTGCTTAAAGAATTGGAGAAGTTGAAATCGGAGAATGTGAAACTGCAAGACAACTTGATCAATGCGAAAAGCGAAGGGGATAGATTAAAAGAAGATTTGAACAAATTGAAAAAAGATTATACCGACTTGCGGGGCGATTTGACCAAGGCGAGAGAAGACAGGGACATAAGAAAGGAAAAGGATGTGGAGTTGGACAAAGAGATTGACGAGTTGAAGACCACAAATGCAAAATTGAAAAGCGATTTATACGATTGCCAGAAAGAGAACGAAAAGTTGCGCAAGCAACTGACTAAATTAAAAGCGGAAAATGACAAACTGAAAAAAGCTTTAGGTACGATAATTAATACAGTAGCATTTCAATTGTTCGAACTTTTCGATGCTGCAAATTTGATGGTGACAAAAATAAACTATTTTTACAAATTCGAGTAAAGATATGCAATATTAATAAAAAGCTGGGATGAGGATTTTTATTAATTGCACGTATATTTTTTCTTCCTTTTATAGATATCGTATTTATTAATATTATTTAGAAATGAACAAAATCATCGATAAATTTGATTTTTCAATATTTAGAAAAGTTTAGCAAATATCTCTAATATGAAAAAATTATTTTCTAGGAATTATTCATTGTATATATATGTGTGTGTGCAGATAAAGATGTGGATCAAAAAGAAACGGAAATTGACAAAGATATTCTGGATGATTGCAGCGAGTATGTTAAAGCAAACAAAATACTGCAGAAAAATTTTGAAAACCAGTTAAAAGGTATAAAGAATAGAATAAAGATTTCTTTCCGAATGTGCATATATGTAAGAAATTATTTTTGTCGCTTTATTGCTTCATTGTCATTATGATTTATCTCAATTGAGATTATTTACAATTTTTAATCATTTACAATATCTGATTCATTTGAATATTATAGACTCGAAAAAATATTTAAATGCAACATGATTGTTGTACAATTATATTTCTTTAGAGTTATATATTCTTTAGAGTTTAGAGTTGTAGAGTTTTCTTTTTATAAGTTAAAGTATATATTCAGATCTTATATTTAGATTCTTATTATAAATTTAAGATCTCTTAAAAATTTCTTCATTTTAAATATTTATAAATACCTATTTTTATCTATCTTTTAATATCTATTTTTATTAACGTTAAATCAATGGATTTACGTACATATTATAAATAATTTTTTTATTGAAAGATAAAAATGAAAGTTCATGTATAGTTCAAAGTTGAACAATTTTTATCTGTCATTGACTCGCACTAATCTCTATGTGTATATACATATTATATGTACATACATGCAGTATATGTACATATTTTGTACATGGTAATAAGTTTGACGTAATATCGTGCTAATTAATTTGATCAGAATCGATCGATTAGAAAACGTATTACACGTATTATCTTCAAGTGCGTGTAAGTATATCCATGTTTTAATCGCAGTTTACAATATCTGGCTAAACGTATCAGCATATTACTAGCTTAATATTACGAGGCTTATGATAAGACATTAAACGATCCTATGGTTCAAGCTAAAAGCGACAAATTATACACGCGAATTACCGGTGTACGAAAATTGAAAAGAACATTGAAATTATAAACATTTGATTGATCGACAAAGAATAATAAAAAATATGAGATTATTGATTCATATAATTGGGATAAAAATCAAAATAATAAATAATAAGGAATAAAAAATAATTTAAATTTTTAATGAATTAACATTTTGAAAAATAAAGATTTATTAAATTTGAGAAGATATAATAATACAAATATTGTTTTCAAATATTTAGTATTTTACTATATTTCATCTTGAAGATTTATATATACATATTTGATAATTTTACTTTTTCATTGAATTACATTTAAAAAAATTATATTTTTCATCTTTGATTTCTTTTTTTAAATTATGAAATACAAAATATATGTTTTTTTATTATTTAAAATAGGTGTACAACGTCTTCGAGACTACATCAATTATTTAGACGGTAAGGGTACAGAACCCAAAATGGCGGATAAATTGGAAGAATCAGAAATAAATCCAAATACAACAAATGACATTGAGATTGAGGATTTGTTGAAGATGTCTCAAGATTTAAGTATCAATATTAATAAGGCAGAACAAGAAATACAAAATCTTGCTAAATTATTAAAACCTGTGGTATGTACAATATTCATGATAAATTAAAAACTATATCGTAATATTTTAAATAATTAATGACCATTTCGAAAACAATACAATAATTAATTATACAATAATTAATTATACAATATTAAAAAAATAAAATATATTCAACATATAATTTAATTATTTTTCAGGAACTTGGTGCCTTCGATCCTGATGGTTGGTTAAATGTAAGTGCAAGAATAATAGTCATTAAACGTATCTATGAATTATACATTCGTTTGAATATCTTGTTTAACGTATTTATCGTGTTTCATTTCAGTCATTGACACTTACGCAATTGGCAGAACTTCATGACAAGATATGTGAATTGACATCAGACATGGTGCAACAAGATTCCAAAGCTGTTCCATGTGAAGCACCCCAACGATCAGAGAATTCGACGGATATTTTGAATAAACGTATAGCTGCTTTGCAGAAACAGATTGCGGAGAAGCAAATGGAGGCAGGATGGAAGCTTCAGGAGCTGAAGAGAGCTCTTAGAAATGAGCAGGCTAATTTAATTCGATTGTCCAATGAGATGAATTTGGAGAGACAACGCAATTTTAATCTTCAATCTAGGTTGGATTCATCTTGATATTTTCTCTTCAAACAATTATGTTTTACAAAATATTTCACGGCATGTATCTAATCTTTGTTACTTATGATTATATCGATAAGTCTGTGTAAGTATGAATTGTATATCATCAATTATATATCTGTACTTCGTTCAATAATGTAGTCATCATCGATGTAAGTGTATATAAATGAAAAGTTGAGATTTAAATTTTTCATACATAACTGTTTCAATTTTTCTATTTATTTATACTTGTGTATATCTAGTAATAAATTTATAAATTCCAGTGACTTATATCTATAAAAAATCACACAAACATTAAAGGAGAAAAATTAGATCAAATGTTAAGGGATGAAAAATTCTACAACTGGACAATTAAAAGAGGAGTCAAACAGTATTCCAGAAAGAAAGAACATGATCTGGAATACTTTGAAAAAATATTTCTTTTGAATACAATTTACCAAACTTATCAAAATAACCTTTACATTTACAATTCTTTTACAATTGTTGAAAAGCTTTTATCCAGAATTAATGATGAATTACATTTAAGAGACTATACATACCTACTTTTATCACATTAAATTAAATTATAATCATTTATATACAGTACAAACCATATATATAACAATGATATATTTGGAATAAGAAATGATTATTAAATGCCAAACATCTTTTCCTTCTCCTCCCCTTGTACGGAACATGTTTGCCAACACGTCGATATTTTTCAATCGTTCAAATCCATCCAGAATTTATCCTGAAAATATCGTTCTGGACGATCAAGTTGCTTCGCCATCGAATAAATTACTTCTATTCCAGTAATTTAATCGCGTCGCACCGGTTACATTCTAATTAATGAAGCGCGGAAGAGGAGAAGGAGGAGGAGGAAACGAGAGGAACAGGAAGAAAAACCGTTGGCCGGGGCCAATAACGAGCAACGTTCTGGAAAACAGTTACGGCTAATAACGGCCAATAGATTCGGCGTGGCCGCATTTGCTCGATTTCGCGCGCGACAACGCGATTTCCTGTTTCGTTTTGTGCCGCGGTGTTGTTCGATCGAGATTAATTCAATTGCATCGTGGACCGCATCCACTCCCACGACTTTATCAGGGAAACGGTCGATGCGGCTCGTGCGTGCACACCACGGCCGGATACCATTGGCAAAGAGTACGCATATAATTGAAATGCGCGACTAGATCAAGTGGTAAATGAATTGACGAAATCCATTTAGCCGTATGCCCGCTCAGTCGGAATTGAAATAAGCTCGTGAAGCGTCCATCCCTTGTAACCTGGTGTATTATCGAAGTGACGCTGCGTTGACATATTCCATCCTTTGGGAAATGAATTCGAAGCGACCACGTTTTGCACGTTTAGAAAATTTTAATCTTGATCGATTAATATCGAGAATATTATTTGATGGGTATATTGTGGAAATGATGATACAAGTTCGTATTTTTTCTCCATAAATCCTATCCTTTGGGGATAGGATTTATTTAGATACGATTTTTGTAGATATGGATTTAATGAGCACAATTTGTTTAGGAAATCTTGAACCGATTGGTCATCGATCAATATGAAAAAGTAAAAGTACGTATAATGTTTTTAATTTTTATCTTTTTAAAATAAAAATTGAAATTATTATTTTTAACGATAATCTGTAATAAGAAGAATTTATTATCACAAACTTTTTTCTTTATAAAATAATTAATAAATTGTTTTAAATATTTTATATCTAGAATTTTAGAAAATTTCAAAAAAAACTTATGAATAATTCTAATAATGATTTTATTTCTTTCGTCTTTATATAGATGTTCGCTTCAGGATTTGTTAACAGTATATGCATATGCACAATAATAAAAATAGTTATATAAAAACGAGATATTCTAAAATTGTTGTTCTTTCGTGTCAGTTTCGTAATTACACGAGATAATGATTTCTGATAAAATCACGAATCACATTATATTTTCAGCTTTTTTTCTACAAACTTAATAAATGAAAAAAAACAGTGTTTAATGATAAGTCGAATAGAGTACTTTGTGTATCAGAATACAATACGTTTTCTGGATCAAGATGTTCTTGTGGTTATTAACAGTTTGTATGCTACAATGCACAGTACAGGTAAATATAATTAATTAATTTTTTATTACAAATGATTTATAAAATATATATTACATAAAAATAAATTTCCTGTGAAATTACATTTGTTAAAAAAAACCATATAGAAATAAAGTATAATAATAAAATGTCAGTTTTTATATTTAATTTTAATAAAATATTTGATAATTTAAATTTATATAATTTTTTTTCTTTTTTTTATTTATATATATAGTGTATAATGTTGACAATCTACATATAAATATCTATTATATATAAATATCTATTAATTTCTAAATGTTTAATTAAATTAGGATTATTAAAAATATTAAATTTTCGTCTTGAGAGTGAACTGTAAAACTTGATAACAAAATTTATCTATTAGAAGATATATATATATTTATAGATTTTTATTGGTTCTGATACGATGATCATAAAGTATATGTATTTTGTCATGTTTTGAAAGATCTTAAAATTTATTGTTACTATTATTTATCACAAACATCAATGATCATAATTATTTGTGCTATTTAAAAAGAAAGAAATATTCCTTATGAATATTTTTTGTAAGAAAGATTTTATTCATATTTACATATTACTGTTCTAATAAAAAAACTTTTTAGTCTTCAATATGAACAATAATTTTTATTATTGATAAAAGGCAAGTTACGAGGTAGTGTTCGAAGATGCTGAGTGTTTCGATATAAACGAAAAATATATAAAGGAATGTGAAATAAATGTAGACTACGATAGTGAATATGGATCTAAACTGGATGCATATCTGGAAATTCTTGAAACTCCTTATGATTCCATCAAAGTACGTATAGTTACTCGTAACATAATAAATAAAAATATTATATCTTGAAAAATTGAATAAGAAAATAAGATTGATGAATCGAATATACTATAGCAAATTTTAATTATATTCTATATCCAAATAAAAAATTATTTGAATCATTCATTTTTTATCATATTTTTTTTTTTTCTTATAGCTGGAAGTTGATACGTTCACTACTCAAATGGGTGAATATACACTTCCTATGGCAATTCACTTAGAAGATGATTTATGCAAATTTGTAAGAGAAGAAAATTCTATGGGATATTTATTTATAAAGTCAATAAATATAGGGACTTGTCCTCCGAAACCAGTATGTAAATATTTTAATTATTATATTATTATTATATTAATTTTAATTTATTTAAATTTATTATTATTATTAATTATATTAATTATTAAAAATATAAAATAT